ATTTCAGAGAGCAATAAAACCTTAAAAGAGGTTCTAACTCTATCCAGAAGTTTAAAAAAATGGCAGGGGATACACTTTAAGAAGTTCTAACTCTTATGCAAAACGAAAAAGGTTTTAGGTGGAGTTTGGCTTTAATCAATGCCTACTTTCTTTCTCTTTCCCCCTTTTGATATATTGCATATATAGGGGTGGTGTCCCAGTTTGTGTGATGGTTCCTAATTTTTGTATTACTATGTTATATATAAATAATATTCATTTAAAATAAGGCAAACACAATACAACACAGAAAATGCATCAAAATGTCTTCAAAAACAGAAGATTTATCATTTTCAAGGAATGTTTTTATAAGGGACATTAGGAAGTTTATTGTCAAACAGTTTTATTAGAGAAACAGAACTGGAACCAATAATTTGACACGTTTAACATTCTATTGGATTACTGTATCTAGAGTTCACAGCACAAAAATACCTGGTCACAACCAAACTTTAGTTACAATTACTAACTTGTTAGTTGGAAGCCAAGGGCATGTATCCTTGTATTTACTGTTATATGTGGCGATTTACTCTAAGACGGTGTGCATCCATTCTTCAGGACTTACAGAAGGAGGGCGAGGAGGTTTTAGGGGTGGAAAGTGAAAGGTATATGGAACTGTATGCAAAATGTTTTTCTCCTTTGAACACATTTTCTTGATACTGTATCTTAAATATCTCATGTCTCAAAAGGTTCAATCCACAAAGGTGCATGAGACAATTATTTATCCTGCTAGCTATAGAAGTAATAGTGTCTCATTACCTCTCTACTACTACTGCTCTCAGCATTATTTTAACTTCTGTTATGTTATCACTCTTTAAAATGACACTGGGTTCAGCATGGGGATAACTAAGTTTCAACAGGCATCTGCTAAGAAAAACAAGAAAAAGGGAGCCCATACCATACATGCATATAGCATAATAAAGCTTTTCAGTACATATTGTTGGGTATACAAGTTTATTTTCTTATTTTTGGAAGCACATAGGAGGATAGGTCCATCTATATTAATTTTTATCTATTTCTATCTATATTAATTCGCTACATGGTATTTTCTGTATTAGTGCCTGTTTCAATGGGCTTTTGTTCGTTTCAAATGAGCTTTGCATCCTCATACCACATACTCCTGGCCAATGCACTCTTTATACTATATTTTACATTACATACTTATGACCAAAGTGGTTATTGTCTCAGTTGCTGGTTGCTAAGTAGTCACTGGCTATCTTGTGAAGTTCTTCTTTAATCACTTGACTACCAGCCTTTAATACCCCTAATTACCAAGAAATGTCTTTAGTTTTCAGTGTTGTAGCAACTTTGGTAATGTAGCAACTTTGGTAATGCAAAACAAAACCTGCTTGAAGAAGGTCTAATGCAGGTCAGAAGGAGGTCAACTGTAGGTTAAATGCACTTATCAATGAGATCTGAATGATCTCAGAAGCATTTAAAACTGATCTCAAACTGATGCCATTGACACAAGCCCAAAGCCAGTTGACACAGGTCCTTACTGTAGGCTTGCTCTCTGTTAATAAAGGTCCCTTTCACATGGGTGGCTGTCACTTCCAATCAACAAGGGATCTGTGCACAGATCCACTGCTGATCGAAGCAGTACAGAACAGATGTCACCGTTGTTATATCCGTGTATGTCCAGTTTTTTCCTCTATCGTAAGACAGAAAAAAAAAGAACTTACCAGACCCATGCTGGGTACATAAGCAGTAGTATGAAAGTGGGCATGTGTCCATTTACATCAAAATGCCCTTGCAGTAAGGCACTTGGCACTGTAAGCGTTAAATGCCCTATAAGTCTAGGGCAGTGGTGGCGAACCTTGGCACTCCAGCTGTGCCAAAACTACAAATCCCAACATGCATCTGCCTCTGGGAGTTATGTCTGTGGCTGTCAGAGCCTTGCAATGCCTCATGGGACTTGTAGTTCCAAAACAGCTGGAGTGCCAAGGTTCGCCACCACTGGTCTAGGGGGTAGAGGAATAAGCTGTAATACCTTATTCCTCGCTTTGGCAGGCTTCCAGGTGGTTACACTCTGACATCATCACATACAATGCAGGACCAGTAGACCTAAATTGCACATAAGAACAGTGAGGGCCTGCTCACAACCTGGAGTGTTGGAGGGAAGAGGAGAGTGTCGGAGCATGCCAGAACAAGGAATAAGGTAAGTATTACAGTTTATTCCTATACCACTAGATTTAAGCAGTTAACCCTTGCAGTGCGGGAGAGCCCACTACCAGGGTATTTTTCAAAAAAAAATTACAGAGTTTAGCTTTATGTCTTAGCTAGGTCAATGACCTTTGACTCAATCGGTAATTAAACATGACAGTCTAAAAAAGAAATTAAAAAACCATAGTAAAGGATAAATGGGAGCTGGATGTATATCAAGCTAGCTCATAGTTAACAATAGCGGGCCTGCACTGGCTTCACCGTATTAATATGCAAAAACACAAGAGGTAGTAAACAATACATAGGCCCCTTGTTGGCAAGTGATTCCCTTTTTTCTCTTTACAGACACTACGAAGTGTGTCTGTCCAACTGCCTATTTGAAATTATCCTTTGAAAATATTCTGATAAAAGTTGCACTACAAAGAAGTGTAAACACCAGAAGTTCAAAATAACACTAAATAGTAATACCGCATCATAATGGTAAATACAATGATAATATAACATTGTTACAAGAATTTCCAGTACAGTATATGTAGTGAATGACCATTTGTAGTTATTTACTTGTCTGTAGTGCGGTTAAAAAAATTTAACACAATTGTTTGTGAAATTACTTTCCAGATACGAAGTAAAATACCATCTGTATTTAAAACCTGTGTAATGATATCTGTAAATATATTTTCTTTATTTACATACCCTGATACCAAAACCTTGCCTGACAGTGGTGCTGGGTCTCCTCTAATCAGATCTGATCACATGGAATGTAATTATTTTCTTGCCATGCCCTGTACCCTAAATATTACATTTATCGGCACCCTAAAGGCAAAAACCAACCAACAACAGATGTTTTAGTTCTTCCTGGGCCCTACTGAGTTGAATGAGCTATTGATTTCAAAGCCTTTAAATACTGTACCTGGCAATTATGATGTCAAGAGGGAGTAGAAACAGTATATGTTAGTTTGTGCATATGCCAACATCAAAATTCAGGCAGACTGAATACCTGCTATTATCTCCTTAACACCAATGCACTTTATTTTTATCACATCTACAAAATATTACAAAAATTTCCCTTATGCTTTGATAAATAAGTAGCAAAACTGTGTTTTTCTTCACATTCACAAAGAAGAAAGCATTTGTATAAATACAGTTAAGCCCCACTTCATTTTGTTTAGCCATCAAACTGAGTATTTTTATCTTTTTAGCAAACCCATTATGTTTTCTCATTTAAATTTCTCCTTCTCCTATTCTTTTCACTTGAAATGTATGTGCAAGTTCAAGTGTAACATACTGCATCGCTAGTAATATTTGTACATCACTTCAAATTGTAATAACACTAATAAAAGATCTAATGTGCTTCCCAACAGGAACCAGGATTCGTTAAAAGAATCAATAGAGATTATAAATGGCATTTTCTTGGTATATTGTTTTTCTATTTTTTCATTTTTGAAGAAGGGGTGGAAGGATGATGAACTAAAGTTAAAACATTACTACTGCCAGTAAAAGTCCAACAGTATTTTGCTGTACTTGATGTTCTGTGATCGGTGCTAGTAATAGAATGAGGTGATCTCTTAGCAAGGGGATTTCATGCAGCACAAGTGCTAGTAAGTTCCAGCAAATCATCCGCAATAAATGCTTCCTTCTAGTAAACATGTAAAGAATGAGGTCATGCTGAGTCAGAGGGCTGTCTATTATATACTAGCTGCAAGAAGAGTAAAGTCTAATCTACTCTAGTAATTCTGCTCTACTGAAGCCACCAGAATAATAAAGAAGGTATCTGCTCTACTAGGCTAAAGAAGGGGAGTATACATTACACTAACCAGCAGACTTATGGTCTACTCTACACAAGCCACCACATTGGAGTGGAGGTTTATACTACTAAAACCGGAGAGGTTTCCTGTACATTAAACAGCACAGAGGGCTCTATATCACAAAAAATAAAACTGGAGCAGCTGCACACCAAATCATTTCATTTGGTAATTTTGCATGAAATAATGTATTTTAATCGCTACTAAAACACAACACACCTATGGCTGAGGAAAGTGGCACACAGGGAAATAATTGTGCAACTTTGGGCGCATGAATGGCAATTTGCATACATCACCTATGGCATATTTAAATTTGTTATTTACACTTTCACTGTACTGAACACTGTTCTTTGTATATAGCATTCTTACAGTATTTGTCAGTGAGTATGCCTTTACAG